GGTTGCTCAGAAGCGCTGGGCTACATGTGGACTGGTTTGTTGTTGTTGGAGTGCAGGGCAGCACACGCTGATTTGTTATTGTAGGGCTACGCAAAAGCAGTGGGCTACATGCACTGGTTTGTTATTGTAGGGTTGATCCTGAGCAATAAGTGGATCACATGAGCTGGATCAACGTGGGGAAGCAGAAATGGAAGGAGGAGGCTTCTCCAACGAAGTCCAAGAAGTAGTAGGGAAAATAAAAGGAGCTGCTTCTCCTGACCTCCCTTGTGGGACAGGGCAGAAGAAATATACACAGGGCACCTGCTAATTAGCACGGCCCCAGTTGTCTATGCTGAGATCCTCACACCTTAGCTCCTTGGGCTGGGTGTGATGGAGCTCCTACTTCATGCAATACGGCAAGCCACCAGGCAGCCCTGTCTCAGAGCTTGTTTTACAATGGGTCTTTTCTCCTCCGCGACCTTGCTTCTCAGAGTATGTCAGGCATGCAGCATTCCCGAGCCTGCGGGAATATTTGAGATTCTTGGGCCACTCGGACCTCCTTCCCCAATGTGGTGTTGGCTGGCAGAGTTCAATTCTGTGTCAAGTCACAAACTCCTTGCGCGCTCGCTCTTGGGGGTGGGGGCAGGGTTACACTGATACAGCCAAAACATGTGAGGCTAAATCTATGGCCCATAAAAGGTCCATTTTATTATATATATATATATATATATATATGGAGGTTTTGAGCAAATGATCCAAACTAGACACTGTAATCCTGTAAGCCTTTGTTACGGGGCAGGAAAGCAAGTGTCTGGGGAACTATTCATGTTCTGGTGTTGCCAACTTTCACAATTAATGGTGTTCTTAAACCCTCAGCTCCTGGAGCCATGTCTTTTATAGAAAAGAGTCAGAAGAAATTAAAAGAAATTAAGTTTCTAGTCCTTGTAATTGCAGAGAAAAGCTTAAAGACATGAAGCAAGTGCATCCTGGAGGCTCAAACACCAGGGCAAACCAAAAGAACCCCATATTTATTATTTTTAAAAATCTCATGATTTTCATGCCAATCTCAAGAATATTTTTGGACCTGATCCATTATTTTTTATACGCTTGGGTTTGACACTGCTGCATTCCCACCGAGCCCAGATTGCAAAGCCAGTATATGACTCTCAGCATAGTACTAACGTGCCTTCAGATTAAGTCACTAACTTAAATGGCTGGCTTCATGCTATCCAGCCATCTGCTGCCGGCTCTGGAGCAAATCTCTCAGCCAGAAACCCAGCTTGGTGGCATCCAAGCACCTGCAGCTATACCTGGAGTTCTTCCAGCAAATGGATGAGCTTCCAAATACCTGCGGTGCTAATATCCCTGGAACTCACCTGCTCCCCTGGGACCAGACCCATGGCATCAGGATACCTACAGCCAGTCAGGGTGATTCTAATCCAACCAGGGAGCCTGCTAGACAACTAGGAAAATATACGAGCAAATATAAAAGGTCGGAAGTTGCCTGTTTATAAATGTCTTTCCTGCACTTCTAGCACGGGTTGCGGTTGTGTGGGACCAGCAAGATGGTGAGCAGCTCACAGGTCTTTCAGTGTTGCAAGACCCAAGACCAGTGAAACAAGCAAGGCTTGAAAAATCCACCATCCAGGGCAAAAATTTCCTTGGGGAGTGTGGTGATCTTCCAAACATTAAGTTTCTAGCTCGAAGCAGAACCCCGTTGAAGGCAGTGAAACAGTCCTGGATCGGGTCCATTCATGCTGCCGCCACTGACAAGGACTGGGGAGAGGGGGTGCTGGAAATGACTGGCAGAGGAACACAGACCCACTAGCACCTGTGCAGCAGACAGGAGGTTCTGGAGGGCGAGTGGTGGAATAGACAGAGTACGCGCCTTCTTCCTTCCGCCGGTCAGTGGGATTGGAGGGGTGGCTTCAGATTAATGAGCACTTTGACTGCTTTGGTAGCGTCCCGCTGAGATCAGAGGGCCATGCGCTTAGGAGAAATGTCACCAAGCATGTGGGTGGCTGGGGAGAATCCCTGGAGGTAGGTATTGAGAGCTGGTGTGTTAGGCCTAGTCCTTCACTGGGTGAGGACAGAGTTTGGTGACGGCAGAGCGTAGAGGAGAAAAGCAAGGAGAATAGTTTGTGAATCAGGCACCATCTGCCATAGGAGACAGCCTGGTCCCATCAGGCCAGTGCATGTGGCCGGTCCAGAGACAAGCACTTACAGTAGCATTTCATCTTCTGTGGATGAGAATTGTCTATGTAGCTGTGAGATCTGCAATAACCAGAGCCTGCCGTTCTCCCTATAGGGACGATGGCTCCATCTACACCAGCAATTGTGTAAATCCCAGGGCTGTAACATGGTTATAACACAGCTTGGTCCTGTGCGCACAAGGAGATCATGGCACCATCATGTTTTAACACACATCCCCAGCAAGGTCCGTATTCTAGGGTTCGAACTTAGGGCCGATTCGCACAGCTGCCGGACCTCGGCTATCAACCCCTGCTGCTGCTAGCATGGTAGTGTGGGCAGGGCCAAAGAGGGCGGCACAGAGAGAAAAACTCAGCTTGTCTGTCTGCTTAGAGAGCTCAGCTTTTCTTGTGCCTTCATCAGCCAGAACCCAAGTGCCCCCCCGGGTTTCCTAGTGGCGCTTCACCTGCTATCCAATTAGCACCCCTTAAACTGCACCCCTATTCTCAGATCACTGCTCTGCAGCTTTTAACTCACTACTGCACCTACATGAAAGTAACTGAGTCCTAGGGAGGGTGAAGACCTTCTCGAGGAACAAGCATCCAGAACTCCAGGTGGCAGAGAAAAGCATGCGAGAGAGTAACAGAATCTCTCTCTCACACACACACATGCTCATACACACAATGTGACCACAAGAGCCGCTGGGAGAGTCTCACTTCCTTAGGCTGAAATTGACTCCTTTGCAGAGGGCCAATGTAACCCACCGGTCAGTGTGTGGCTTGCCCAATCCACCACAGACGACCCGGGTCCTACAGCCCCAGGCACAGAGCCTGGTTCTTTAGCTCGTGCTGCAGCAGCTCATGGTTTTAGCTCTGGGGAATTTTTTGACAAAATGTTTTTTCCTCGGGAACTGCTGATTCGTTAAAGCCAAAGCTGTTGGTGGGAAAGGGTCGGTTTCCAAGAAGCTCCTGGCTCAAACCAATGTTGGAAAACAAAGTTTGGAAGCTGTCGACCTGTCCCGTTGCAACGTTTTTGAAATGCAAAGCGTTGGTTTCCCAGTTCGAAACAACTTTTTGTTTGGCAATTTCAGCTCATTATAGTGGGGGTGGGGGAGGAAGGTCGAAAGAAAAAGTTTCGAAATTATTGAAGTGAAGTATTTCAATTGACCCAAACTGAAGGTCATAAAATTTTTGAAGATTTTTGACTTTTCGTCCCCATTTGGGATGGGAAAAAATGTCCAAATCTCAATTTTTTTTTGCGGGATGAGAAAACCGTTTCCTGCCGAGCGCTGTTCTGGGGTCCCTGGTTCAATCCCCGAACGCTGGCGAAATAGCATCTGTCACAACAAGCACAAGGCCTATGCATGACCCTATTTTGAGGGCTTAGCTGTGATTTAAGGGGTGTGTAGGCCTTCTACACGGGCGAATTTCAGCCTCCCTGACCAGCTGATGAGTGGCTCTGATGAAGCTCTGCTCTCCATGTCAGGGGGCCTCTATGCTAAGGATGTTCTGAAATCTTCCCCCAATAATCTGTCAGCAGTGCAGTGCTACCTGTGTTAGCAACAGTAGCCGAGCTATTGCCTTCCAGCACTGGTGTCAGCTACGTCTGGTTCACCAGCAGCCAACAAAGGCTAGTGCTCCCATCCCTGCTAGCACTGGGAGAGCTTGCATCAGCGCTAGACTAATGATGGGAGAATTTCAGCACCTTCCCCGTATAGACATGACCCATGCTGATGGCCGGTCAGTGGAAACGGGACTGATTGGGGGGGGGGGGAATTATCAGTGAGTGAAGGGGTGCCAATCACAGAAAACAGACATGATCAAACCCTGGGCCGAGATCCAAAGTCCACCGCAGCCAATGGAAAGACACTTGTTTGGCTCCAAAGCCTTTTTCCACTCCCAGCACTGACTGTGCAGGATGTATGTGTCTCCGTCCACTGTCAAATGCCTTCCTCCACTAATAGAATCTACCATAGCCTCTTGCATCCCATTATGCTAAGTTGTAGCCCTTTTTATCACCCTGACTAATCCCTCGGCATCCTTGAGATTTTTTTAACATGCTTCCCATCCAGGGACTGTCTCTGTCTCTGGTTGGAAAGTGCCTGTCACTCTTTTGGGGTTGCTAATGCAATCTGTATAATACCCTTATTCTTATATGTAGCGCTCAGATGCCAGCGTGGAAGAGGAGGAGGAGGTGGAGATATTGGTCTGAGGTGTGTAAGAAACCCTCTGTATTGCTTTTCTCTTCCATTGGGGGGAGGCTGGCGAGGGGAGAACTGGTTGGAAAATATTTGAGTTTGTTGGGAGGGGGTTTGGGTGGAAATTTTTGCCTTTTTGTCAAAAAAAACCAAACAAACAAAAAAACCCCAAACTGAAAAATGTCTCCATTTTTGGCAACCAAACCCCACAAATTTTTGACTGAAAATGTTGCAAACCAAACTTTTTTTTTTGCCAAAGCCTGTTGAAATTAAAAATAAAAAATAAAAAATTGTTGGTTGGCCCCAAGTGTTCAGATTTTCACGTTTGCAGTGACACACCGAATTGTTTTGAGTAAAAACAGATGCTTTCTGCAGAAATTTTTGTTTAATTGAAACCCCCCCATTTTCCATCGAGGAAAAAGTTCCAATGGCTAATTTTCAAGCAGTCCTATTGGAAAGTCTCTTGTGTGCTGTGGAAGATCACTGCGCACACGGGCCAGGTAGAGAAGTCGTCATGCAGGCAGCCCCTCACCTTCTTTTAGGAGTAAGAATACTGATGCCAATGCAGTCTCTGCCTGTCTGCGGTGTCAGGCGATTTATGGGGGAATAAAGGAGAATGATTACAGTCACCACTTCATTTTCTCTTTATTTCTTCATCTTCTGTTCCCCCTGGAGCGACAGCCAGGTTGATGGAATCTGGAATAAGGGACGATCACACGTTATGATTGCAGAGGGGCAGGGAAGATTTTTTATTTTTTTTGACAACCTGAATGATGAATGCTCTGACTTTCAATCGCCTCTGTGGTTAATTGTCAGTGGTCTAGTGGCCTCTCTCTTTCTCATAACATCCCATCTCCTTTTGCCTCTGCTCTAGACGCTGCTCTAGACGTGCCAACCCCCAGCCAGCTGCACCGGCTTGGGAATCTACCGTGGCCCTAACCCTGTGCAACGCTGGCATCAGCTGTGGGTCCTCAGTGCTGATGTTACACCCCACGCAAGCTGAGCTTCCAACCAGCATTGGAGCTGGAGAGGTGGCTAGCGAGGGCTTTACCGTTTGAGGGATGCCATGATTCTGGGAAGAGCTCTACTGCAGGAGGCAGCCAGTCGGCTGGAAGAGCCCAGGGCTCTGGGAGCAGGTGGGGCTGCAGGAAGAGACAGGCTGGTTCGGAGGCAGCCCCAGAGAAGGGTATGCAATTCACACTGAGTTTCTCGGATACTGCACATGGAGGCTGGCTTGGGTTCCACTCCTTAGCAAGAGGACGGGGAGAATGGGGGCAAAGGGAGGGGAAGTGACTGATGTAGGGAAGGGGGAGGGTGGGAGAGAGGGATCTGCTTTGAGATGGGGGTAAAGGGGAAGCACAAGGATCCTCTGCGTAAGGCCCTGACATACCTAGGGCTAGCCCCGGTGCCATGCCTGCAGCACAAAAGGCAGGTTGGAGCCCATGCACCTGGTGGTTCACAACTGTCAAATCCCAGCCTATCCGCTGTTTGTTCAACCCACCTGCGCTCAGAATGGGGCTGATGAGGCCCGAGCCCTCTGGCTCCTCCCTGCCATGGCCCAGGATGCAGTGCTCTATGAACCCCGGGTTGTAATGCAGCCCCTCACACTTTCTGCAGAACAGGATCTCGCACTCAGAGCACGTGTTGCCTGGGGGCCTCTTCTTGTCCAGCAAGCAACAGATGGGCTCCTGCTGAGATCTCTTCCTAGGAAGGAAAAGGGAGATGAGAGGAAGTCACCAGGGCTCCTGCTCTGCGGCTGGTCTCTCTCCCCAGCCCTGCAGGATGATAGCAGCAGACCAGGGGTTTCTTGTGTGGCAAGTTTAAGAGGCGTCAGTTTCAAGGTGATGAAATGACGCGTGTTTAAATGGCTGGCTAGTTTTCAGGTGACTAATAACATGCGTTATGCAAGCCGAATCACCCCGGTATTCCAAAGTAACAACAGTTCGACGACATTTTTCTGCCAAAAATTTCTTTGTCAAAAAATGCAGATTTGGGACAATTGAAACATTCTATGAATTTGGGTTAAATTTGTCAAATTGTTTCAGTTAACAAAAGAAAAGAAAAAAGGGGGAAAAATTCCCTCCAAATCAAAACATTTTATTTTGACAGTTTTGAGCTAGTTAGATTTTTTTTAATGCAAAATACCTTTTTAAAAACATTTTACTGCAATTTTATTTTTAACAAGTTTAAAAAAAAACAACCCCAAAATGATATGAAACTACTTTTTTGGGTTGCCCCAAAACAAACTGTTTTCCAGTGTTTTGGTTCAGCCACTGAACTGAAAAATCGGTTCTTTGCATAGCTCTAGTCCATCCACACGGAGCTCCCTATCATTTCAGAGACCTGGCATTGACAACCATCGGTCTCAGTGGAGAGGCCAAGGATCGAGTAGATCATGCAAACAGTCCCTCTAGTGCAGCCTGGCCACAACTGATGGCCCAGTGTATGGGACACTTCTACTGGTACTGTGCATGAGCTGGGGACAGAGGGCTTCAGCCTTCAGGGAATTTAGAAATTAGGAAGAAAATGGTGGCAGGTTGGAGTGACCCTCTGGGTTCACTAGAGGACTTGGAGGGACACCTCCCACGCTGTCATGCCATTGTAGTAACATCTCCCATACCGTAGTGAGTATGCCGACTCCCCTCATTTTCCCCCGGTGGGTCGCCCTCTGCAGAGCACAGCCTGGCCCCAGATTCCCAGTGCCGGTACCTGTCTGCCAGCGTGGGCAACCCGGAGAAGAGGGAGAACGGCGAGAGCCAGCCCCAGAACCAGTTCTCCTCTGCTTTGTTCAGCTCTTGGACCTGCTCTGTGCTTGACGTCTGAGGAGAAAGGGGGGAGTAGGAGACTATGTTCTCTTCCTCTGTGTCCTCTTCTGCCACTTCCAGTTCTTTGGCCTCCTCCTCTGCCATCTCCTGCTCCTCCTTCTCTTTTCTCCACCAAGACATGGTAAACTATCAAAATGCTGGGGGAGGGGCAAACAGCAGCATAAAATGAAGTTGGGGCTAAGGCTCCCGCTATGTTTATATCCTCTACCTGCTGCTATGACCAGTGACCAGCCAGGGCCCTTTCTTGCCTGATTCATGTGATGGTCATTCTCTGGGTTGACCATGTGGCCGAAGGCCTCTGGGCACTTATGTGAAACCACGGAACAAAACTGCCTTTTGCCTTATGTCCCTCACCCCATAGCACGAGGGGTGCTTTGTCTGGTGGTTGCTGGATCCAGATGCCTTGGGATTGGGCATTACCAGTGAGAGGCCCCCAGCTCTCAACTCAGTTATCTAGTCCCACAGCTTGTTGCCTTCCAAAGCATGATGTGGGGCTCATCTCATCTCTCAAGCTGTAACCAGCTGCGGTAGGCCATCGTTAATGGTGGGTGTGGTTTGGGGAGGGGACCTGTTGCGTCTATAAGCTTTGACGTAAAATCCTTGCAATGCACTCTAAGCCACTGCACAAACTAACGAAGCTACCACGTTGGGGGAGTTTGTCATTGGCTGCTTGGTCTTTGCATAATGTTACATGGTATTGCCCAGCACCAGGGACGATGCAACAAATCACATGAACACATACGTGCGTGCCACCAAAATCCAGCCACACTCCACCTCTGCCGCTCAAGCCGTGTGGGTCTGGACGTGGTGGGTCTTAGCAGGGCTCTGCGCACCTTGCTCTAGTCTGAGCGAGCGGCATGCCAATCCCAGAGCGCTGCCTGGAGAGGGCCAAGCAACGCAGGGAGCAAGGAGTGATCAAACTGGTGCCTGGAGTTGCCTCCTTCCTTGTAGCAGGGGATGGGAAAGGGGACCACAGGAATTCGCCCTTCTCTCCAAGCACATGGCAATGCCACGCTCCCAGAGGCAGCACTGAACGTCGGAATGGTGCAAAATCATGTCTTGCAGCATTTGCCTTGTGTCAATGCAGCTAGAGTGCCGGTCGCTATGAGACGCCCCAGACAAAACCCGATACAGTTCAGTGTTTGGAATCAAACTCATGCGGGAACCACCGCTGAGCCTGGGGGCAGCGCGACAGAGCGTCCTGCATACTGAGATCACTGCCAGCGCGCAGGTCCAAGAGGAATGGAGCATGGGATTGTATGAGGCATTAAGGGGACCAGCCACAGTGATCCAGGACGTGCCTTTCAATCCTGTGTTCCTATGAAATCCATCATGGCTGGCGCCGAGGCAGCCCATGCTTCTGCTGGGTCTGTCCATCTGATCTCTCTGGCATCAGGCAGTCCAGGGAGTCCTTGCTAAGGTAATACACTTCCAGGGGAATATAAAATCTTTTGTCCCAATATTGGGCAGGGTTAGGGGATTAGACAGAGTCTGTTGCTGGGTTTTAAACAAGATCGAGAAAGACCTGCCCTCCTTGTCTGGGCCTTCGTCATATTACACCAGGGTGATGGAGGGGGGGGGAAGGGACCTCAAGAGGTCACCTAGTCTAGCCCCCCATGCTGGGGCAGGATTAAGTATCACAAGCCCCCAGCTGCCCTCCTGCTCACTCATTTTTAATTCCTCCTGAAGATTACATTTCAAGGGATTTCAGGAGAAAACCTCTTAGCCGAGTCTCACCTGCCACTCGCTGCAAAGTCACTGTCAGCTCCCTAGCCGCCAGCCGCTGGGCCGGGGCTCATTGTGACACCTTGGGGGTTCTCCAGGCAGGTTCTACACACAGGCCAGTGGAAGGCAGTGACCTGGTGAGTCACCCCATGCTGTGTCATTGGGCATGAGGGCCCAGCTTTGCAGCCGGTCTAACCCTAAGGGCCCGGGCTTGCTTCTTTTGAAACCAGTGAGAGTGGATTTCAGTGGGAGCAGCAGGCTAAGAATATCTGTCCATCCATTCGTGCATACTCCCAGCTCTCTTTGCCCCTGCTGGGATCCCTTCTACCTCCCACAGCTCCCACTGAAGAACCTCTCCTTGATATAATCTCGAACCACACCCTATAGCAGCGTCCCCTCCTCTCCTCTGGTTCTGTGACCCCCCCTTTGTAATGTGACCACATCCTTCTTCGGGCCCCAGTCAGGGAAACGTGGTTCGTTTACTTGGAAGGGCCTCATCAATATATCTGCATCCTCTCCTCAGCTCTTCTCTCTGAACGTCCACTGACACACGAGCGCCACAGGAGGGTGGGGTAGTGCTGGCCCCATCTATTTTGTTGCTGCCCAGCAGGGGGAGGGATAGCTCAGTGGTTTGAGCATTGGCCTGCTAAACCCAGGGTTGTGAGTTCAGCCCTTAAGGGGGGCCACTTAGGGATCTGGGGCAAAATCAGTACTTGGTCCTGCTAGTGAAGGCAGGGGGCTGGACTCAATGACCTTTCAAGGTCCCTTCCAGCCTCACTCTGGGCACAGAGGTCGGTTTACTTCAGCGGGAGATGCCCCATTGGCTCCCGCTGTGCAGAGGCGACACCATGGGGCTGTGATGCAGGTGTTGCAACCACATGGCGTGGCACCATGGTGTGATTGTTCTGTCCTGGAAAACAGACACCAAAATGCGGTGGCCCTCCTGATCGCGCCCAGTCTCCAGTTGGTGTGTGACACTAGAGACTGTTACACAGACCGGATGAGCCCGGGCCCTGCCGGGCCTGGTTTTGAAAAGTATGGGGCTAGATCCTCAGCTGGTGTGAATGGACACAGCTCTATTGACTCCAGGGGACATGTTTTGATTTACACCCCAGCTGACGATCTGGCACTCTGGATTTGGCCTGGTGTGTTTAGCATTTCGAGCAGGAGACTGGGCCTCCGGAGGGGGGGGGGGGGTGTCTGTCACTGACTCGCTGTATGACCTTGACCAAGCCGCTTCCCCCTCACAGTGCCTCAGTTTGCCAATCTGTAAAATGGGGAAGATGGGACTGACCTACAGTACTGCACAGAGAGGGGTTGGGGGTGGGTGGGAGAGGAGGAACTGAGGATCAATTCATTAACGGTTGTAAAGTGCTTTGAGATCCTTGGAGGAAAACTGGTGCAGAATCATAGGCTATTGCTAAACAGCTGGCCGCCAGCCAACGCTCCAGACCCAAATTTTGGGGGAGTTCAGATTTGTATTAAAATCTCCTGGTTTGGGACGATTGTTGCTTTAAAAAAAAAAAAAAGGGAGTGAGGCGCGTTGGTTGGGAAAGCAGGAGCCTAAGGGGTTAACGGGGAGTGTTTGTAGCAAGTCTCTGTCACCAAGGAGAAGAGAACAGCACTTGGGGAAAGGAAACAAAACACTGGGCCTGTCCAGGAGGGGCAATTTCCCGTTTAAATCGACTCCAGCTCCAAGCTACCCCTCGGGGGAAGGAGAGAGGCTTCTGACATTCCCAGGGGGGTGAGAGGCAGGCAGCAGGAGCACTGGGTGAAGCCAAAACGCCCCTGCTCCTTGTTGAAGAAAGAGGGCGAGCGTTCAGGGGGAAAGGTCAGTTCCCCGCACAGGAATGTGTGTCCCCTCGCAATGGGGCGAGACTGCAGGCAGGTTCCCCCAGGGGGCTGGGGCAGCAAGGAATGAGGCGTGAGGACAACACCTTCCAGTGGAGGGCTCGGAGCGTCTGCGTGTGGGCTGCATGGAGGAACTTGCTCTCCCTGAAGGAATGCAATTGCGATGGCTAGGGGACCAAGTGGAGCTTTGCCACCCGTGAACTTGCCGCACCTCAGGAGGGGAGAAATATTGTGACTTTTTCCGCCTAGATCAGGAGTGTCCTTTGCACGCTGCAGTTTGGCAAGAGTCGGGGCGATGGGGGGACCAGGAACAGGACCCTGAGAACCTGCTCTGGGGACGGAGACGTGGCAACTCACCGTACCTGGGTAAGTCTGGAACCAAACCAAGGGGTTGATGGTTCAGTGTCCTGCATGGAAGCCTTCGATGCCCCTTCTCTGTCTCCCTTTAGCCCCACATCTCATGGCAAGATGGCTGGGATTCAGGGGGCCACGGTGCAGAGCATCCGGCCCTACAAGTCCAGCGAGCAGTATCTCTACGCCATGAAGGAGGACCTGGCCGAGTGGCTCAAGGAACTCTATGACTTGGAAGTCAACGTTGGGTCCCTCCTGGAGGTGCTGGAGACGGGCTCCATGCTGTGCTATCATGCCAACAACATCACCCATGTGGCCGGAGAGTTCTCCCGGGACTATCCAGGCCTGGCCCACAAGCTCCAGCTGCCCAGATATGGGGTGACATGTAATGACTCTGCCCAGCCAGGGACCTTCCAGGCCAGGGATAACGTGTCTAACTTCATCCAGTGGTGCAGGAAGGAGATGGATATTAAAGGTAAAGAGGATTCTGATCTTTCCCTCCTGTTTCTTTCCATTCCTTTCATTTCTCTTTATTTCTAACACCTTTTCCTGCCCTCTTACCCCATGGCAATTCTTCTTCTTCTCATTATTTATTTGTCTTGCTTTGGTGCCTAGGACCCCAGTCATGCACCAGGACCCCATTGTGCTGGGTGCTGTATGTTATTTATTAGGTGTATTACGGTAACCTGTAGGAGCCCTAGCCATGGACCAGACCCTACTGTGCTAGATGCTGTACAAACACAGAGCAAAAAGATGGCTCCTGCCCCCCAAAAAGCTGACCATCTAATATACATCGCTCTTTCCTAGCGCCTTCTCTCTGAGGAGCTCAAAGCACTTGGCAAACATTCAGTTAGCCCCGCCACCCCCATCTTTATCCTCCATTTATAGACAGGAGAAACTGGAGGGAAGCCGCTTGCTCAAGGTCACAAAGTGGCCCAGTTAGGAAGGTCCCCAGTGTCCTGACCCCATCCTGAGCCTTGATCACAAGAGCGTGCTCCCTCCAGAGGGGAGGGATAGCTCGGTGGTTTGAGCATTAGCCTGCTAAACCTAGGGTTGTGAGCTCAATCCTTGAGAGGGCCACTTAGGGATCTGGGGCAAAATCAGTACCTGGTCCTGCTGGTAAAGGCAGGGAGCTGGACTCGATGACCTTTTGGGGTCCCTTCCAGTTCTGTGAGATAGGTATATCTCCCTTCTCATTAAACTTCGCCCAAACTAAGTAGCTGTCTGGGGATTCAACTCTGAGATGAATCATAGAATCTCAGGGTTGGAAGGGACCTCAGGAGGTCATCTAGTCCAACCCCCTGCTAAAAGCAGGCCCAATTCCCAACTAACTCATCCCAGCCAGGGCTTTGTCAAGCTGGGCCTTAAAAACCTCTAAGGAAGGAGATTCCACCACCTCCCTAGGGAACCCATTCCAGTGCTTCACCACCCTCCGAGTGAAAGCATCTTAAGGGAGGGCATGTTGTCTAGTATTGTGTCCTAAGGCACTGGCCTGGATTCTGTTCCTGACTCTGCCACTGAGCAGCGATGTGAGCTCGGGCAATTCAGTTCATCTCTTTGGGTTTCACTTCCCCATCTGCAAAGGGGGCCAATATCCTTGGTTTCTCTCACCTTCTTGTGTGTCTTGTCTATTTCGCTGGTCAGCTCCTTGGGGCAGGGCTAGTCTCTCGCTGTGTGTACGTGCAGCGCCCAGCGCAAAGGGGCCCCGCTCTTAGTTGGGGCCTCCAGGTGCTACCACAATACAAATAATGAATAAACAATAACAACAACGCGTTGGGAGTCGGGATGCTTTCCCCACCCCCTAAAAAAAGAATTGCAAATCTGATTTAAAGTTAGCACTGGCAACCCTACAATAACAACAACCTGCAGTAGGGATGGGAGTTGGCAAAGGACGTAAGAGCGCTATGTGTCGGAGGTGGCGAGTAGATTGGATTTATTTGCATTGCTCCTTGAACATCTTTGGCAGCCTGCGCTAGACCGCAATGCAACAGCAGCGGTGAATGTCTTTAACGCAGCACTACCTTCATGTAGTTCCTGATTTCCCCTCCGATCGGGGTTCACTGCAGCACTGGCAGCTAGGGTCAGGGAGAGGGGTGTGCTCTAGCAGCGTGTGAATCTCTGCCTCATTGACTGGCTGAGGTTGTGCCCACGTGGTTGTTTTAGTTCCTTGGTCAAACTAGCAACATTTCTGCTGGCTACGGTTGGGTTAATCCAGGACTTGGTTCTCTTACACAGAACCCGGCCTCTGGTCCTCAGCTCCTTGAACAGCTGGAGCTGGGGGCAGCCCAGATTCTGTTTAACCCTTCCCCAGCCAAAGCAGTGTCTGTGCTCAAGGCCTCACTTTAGCGTCCATTTCCAGAAAAGAGCTGGGCATGCTAGTGATTCATAGATCCGTAGGGACCATTAGATCATTCTAGTCTGACCTCCTGTATAACCCAGGCCAGAGAGCTTCCCCGAGTTACTCCTGTGTTGAGCCCAGTGATTTGTGTTTGGCTCAAGCACCTCTTCCAGAAAGGCCTTATTTGGAGGTGTCAAGAGATTGAGAATCCACCCCTTCCCTTGGGAGTTAGCGCCTACGATTAATCACCCTCCTTATTCAAAATCGTGCTTTATTTCTAACTTGAATTTGTCTGACTTTAACTACCAGCCAGTTGCCTCTGAAGAAGTGGGTTTTTTTACCCACGAAAGCTTATGTCCAAATAAATCGGTTAGTCTTTAAGGTGCCACCAGACTCCTTGTTGTTTTTACCAGCCATTGGCTTTTATTCTACTTTTCTCCCTTAGATGTAATTAAAGAGCCAGCATTGTCTCCTCACAAAGGTACTTGTACACCGTGCTCAAGTCACCTCCAGGTCTTCCTTTTGATACACTAAGCAGAGTGAGCCCTCCACTGTCCCACTGTAAGGTGGGTCTGAATGCCCACTTGCCTGGCATCTCATGAGCACGATATTTATACCTGGTGTATGTTCATGCAAGGATACGGACACCTCGTATGTACCGACACGTTTGCTTGGTATATCAAGGATGTTCCGCGCAAGTACCCCTTCACTTGGCCTATCAGGGCAGGGCATATCCAATATGTGTCCCACCACTTACTGTACCCCCGTAGGCCTGAGGGTACATCTGCCCCCATGTCTGCACAGTCGGCTCCCCGCAGAATGGTAATAGGTCAGGCTGGCTCTCGCTCATACTGTCTCACCACACCAGGCCTTGCTTAGCTCTTTCTGCATCAGACAGTCTGGGACAATTCACCACCCCTGACACAGCAGCGCTGCTGCTCTCACTAGCTCTGCCCTTGTCTCTCATTCCTTCTCTCCATCCTTCCCCTCCTTCTTCCCACGTGTCGCTCATTCGCTGTGCCCCAGAGGTGCTGATGTTTGAGACGGAGGACCTGGTGCTGAGGAAGAACGAGAAGAACTTTGTGCTGTGCCTGCTGGAGGTGGCCCGCCGGGCCTCTCGCTTCGGGATGAGTGCTCCCACCCTGATCCAAATGGAGGAGGAGATCGAGGAGGAGATCCGAGAGGAGATGGACCTGCCCCCTGAGGATACCCCACTTCCCAAGCCGCAGAGGAAGCCTTGTGACTTCAAGAACCTGGACCAGATGGTAATGGGGAGAGGACACTGTAAGGCAATGGGGGTCTGAGTTCCCTGATACTCGTTGTTCTGTCTAGGCGGGAACTTCAGGAGGACCTGACTAGGGGGAGTGTGGGGCAAGGTCCTCTGTTATATGCAATCTACTTTGGGACCTTTCAGGGAGGAAGATGCTACCTGAACGTGAGAGATTCTTATTCTCTGCTCAGTGCACCTGGGTATTTAAAACCCAACAGAGTTAGCAGGAGTTCTGTGCCTCTGTTTCCAGCAGGCCAGACTCCCTGGTGGTTAGTGGCACTAACTGAGGTTAGAAGATAAGGGTCAAATTACTGAATGGAATTGGGCAAAGGGAACCGATTTCTTCAATCAGCAGCTGGCCCCAGGTAGAACTCCGAAGGCCCAAATTAGCATGGCCTCAACTTCCTGGATCTTCACATGGAGCGCTAGGTGGTCCTGACCTGAACCTTGTTAGAGGTTCAAGAATGTTCAGTTAATTTCCTCCCCAACCCTTGTTGGGTTTTTTAATGTTGTGGTGGCTTTTGTGCTTCCGGTTTCCAAATACAGCCAGAGCCAGAAGCCTGTTTTTCAGGGCCCAAGCACAAGAAGGCCGCAGCAGAAATCTTTTCGTGTGGGATTTCCAGTCTGTTTTTACAGGATCGAGTGTCTTTGATGAGATTTGGATAAGCCCTGGCACCCCGTCTCTCTGACGGAGAATGGGCCCAAGGAGCCTAGCACGCTCCTCCCCAAGGCTACAATGGTATCCAGGTTGCACAGGGAGTAGCACTTTCCTCATATTGACCAGGAATGGTTTGCCTTGGACTCTGCAGGTCCAACACCTGGTGAGCCGGTGCACGTGCCCAGTCCAGTTCTCCATGATCAAGGTGTCTGAAGGAAAATACCGCGTGGGCGATTCCAACACCCTTATTTTTGTCAGGGTAAGTCCAGGAGGGTGTGCTTTCCAGATGCTGTTATGTTGGTCTATATGATACCAGGAACTTCTAATCTACTCTGGGGGTAGGAGGGGCACCTGCACGGCTGCTACCATCTGGGGCTGGGATGCTGTGTCTTTGGGGTGGGAGTCACCAAACACAGGCTCTTCACCTCTCGTTGTGCCTGGTCCCATCCCAAAAGATGGCATGTGTCGATATGGCGAGCGAGGCTGCCGGAGTCAGAGTAACTGAGCATCGTGACCATTAGCAAGGCAGAGATTTCATACCATGCTGCGTTCGCACACTGCAAAACGCATTCAAGGGAAGTGGCTGAATGGCCGTGAGGGTTAGTAATGAGATCTGCATGTCTTCACCTTAAGTAGGATGGGACAGCTCAGTGGGGACCTAACACTGAAACCCTCTGATGTCGCTGGGTGAAATGAGTCACTCCGCTCCCTAGTGGGACAGGGGACCACGTCTCAAAACCCCACTGCTCCAGCCGGCCTGTTGGTCGGACTAGCTGGGCCATGGAGAGTGAGTTTCCCTTTCTCCCTAGAAGTGCTCTCTCTGGGTCTGAGCTGAATGGGGCTGCGTGAGGGAAGTTCGCCTTGGTGCTGTCAGTGCCATACCAGCTGTCCAGTGGATGAGTACAGGGCTCCAGCCTCCAGAGCTGTCAGTCTGGTGCCTTTCACCAGCGCTGCATTCACTATGGGGGGGAAACATGGGCTGCACGTAGGTCGTCCCTCCCTCTCTCCATCCCCCTCTGTATTCTGTTCAGTTGGTTTCTTTCAGGTCTCTACGCCCCTTCATTAACTTTCCTGGCTGATAGCCTTATCAGTGATTGCCGTGAAAGTCATGTTCCCTGCAGTGAAAGTCATGTTCCCTGCAGGTTACGGTTGACTGGAGAGGACCCTCAGATTTTCTTCTCTTTGTGGGGGTGGCCACCCATATTAACCCTCAAACCCCTCTCCTGCCGTCAGAGATGCCATCGTGGTCTGACCTGCATGTACATCTCTCAATTACCTGAATAATCACTGGGTCCCCGAGGCATCTTGCTGGAGTAAGACATGGTGATAGCAAGCTCTGTATTGTGTTGTGTGTGAGAACCTGCATCTTTTCCATGGCAGGAGTCATATGCTATTGTGCTCCAGGTCCTCCACCCCTTCCGGTTCATCTGAGTGTATTCAAATCCCCTTTGGACTACATGATTGTTTTACACATTGTCCACATGTAGCCGGGTAAGAGCGGACATGCAGGTGTGTGCACGCACATGTATGCAACCATACGCATGACTAAGTATGCATGCGTAGGCAGGCATGTAAACCAAACGTGTGCATGTGTTTGCATGCGTATATTGTGGTGTACGAGGTAAACGCTGCTCCTGAGATGGGCTGAGCAATGAAGTCAGTGGAAGACTAGGATATTCTGCACCAATCAGGGTCAGTCCGTAGCGTTGGGATTTCCAGAAGAGCTCGGCACATTGAATGCGCCCTGGCTGTGCTGTATTAACACAACAGGTGTTGAGCTCTTTGGAAAATCTGGGGCGCCAAGCACTGCAAAATCTGGCCCTGATCTCTTTGGAAAACCTGGCCGCACATCTGTTTGAGGATGTTATCTCTTAGCTGGCCCACAGAGAATATGAGGTTCTCCTTTCATTCAAGGGGTAGAGGCTGTTTTGGAAGACAAAGGTCCTGGGTTCTCTCCCCACCTATGACCATGAAAACCACTGTTTGCTGTGGCACCTGGAATTATTATTATTATTATACGCATCACATATATGTGTGCATGTAACCCTGTATGCATCCACAGTCATGTGCGTGTGAAATACTGTATATACCTCACTGGAATAAAGCCAACAGGATGGTGACATCCATCTGTTGAGCTTTCACTCATTTCTAGCCCAGGACGCTGCAGGCCCAGGGGAGCCCCTCGCTCATGGGTGCTCTGTTTGTTCCAGATCCTCCGGAATCATGTCATGGTGCGGGTTGGAGGTGGCTGGGACACGCTGGAGCATTATCTGGATAAGCATGATCCCTGCCGGTGCACCTCGCTGTGTAAGTGTCCTTGTTCTGCTTCAGTTGGCAGGTTCCCTGTGTGCAGCCTTGGGGAGGTCTGCATAGGGGGTGACCCTTTGCCTTGGATGAGGTTCGAATCTGGTGGGTGGGTGTCCCATGCCGTCATCAGTAGAAGACTCTGTGGGTCACAGCGAAGAACAGCAAAGAAGCATAGACAGACAGGAGAAGTACATCCAATCTGAACAATTCCCGAGGCTCGCCCCTGGCAACGTTGCTGGGTGGAAAGCAGTTCAGCCTTTATCAATCTCTGACAGGGCCACATGAACTTTTTGGTAGGGGTCATTTCTTTCTGGGTTCTTGTAGCAGGAGGCAGATGACTCCTTACAGCATGGAGAAGGCTCCTGGGAAGCCGTTTGTCTGACATAGCACCACTAGAGGTCAGGCTAGCACTTCAGAGGGGAGAGAGCCCTACAATATCCCAGTCCTGCCTAGGGGGGTGTGTAGGAATTGCCCTTTGGGCAGGGGCGGCTCCAGACACCAGCGCACTAAGTGCGTGCCTGGGGCGGCAAGCCGCAAGGGACAGCGTGCCAGTTGCCGTGAGGGCGACAGTCAGGCGGCCTTCGGCGGCATGCCTGAGGGAGGTCTGCCGGTCCCGCGACTTTGGTGGCAGTTCGGCGGTGGGAAAGCCGCCTGACTGCCGTGCTTGGGGTGGCAAAATACATAGAGCCGCTCCTGCCTTTGGGATTATTGTATTTAGGGTTTTTTTGTATATTTCACAAGCTTTTAAATGCCTCCGGGAACCAATTACGGCGGCAGAATAATGTGAGATCTGATCTCACTGCATTTCAGCACCTGACAGTAGAAATGTCATAAGACAATGAGGTCTTGCTTTATTCCAGCTGAATAAATTATTCCTGGAGGTTAAAGACCCATGTGAAATTCCTAGGTGTGCCACAGTGCCCGCTTTCCAATCCATCGTGAGTATTCACAAGGGATTTTCACCATGAGGCTTGGAGTGGACTGGCATCAATTCTAGTCTCCCCCAGTCTCCATGGCGAGTTAGAACATGCACAGTTGAATCGGAAGTGGTTGGTACTATCTGGCACTGCTTAGGTCTGGCACACCGGTACGGCTACCCCAAAAGGTTAATCCACCGGCGTGCGGTGACCAGAGATCCTGAGTCCCTGAATCTCTTCACAGCTCACAAGCAGGCTGTCAAGCTGACAAGCCCTCAAAGGCTGCAGGCAATACAGGTGCAGCACGAGATCAAGGTCTGCCCGACACCCAGGACAGACAACCCAAAGAAGCCCCAGCCCACCCTGATCGTGAGCAGGTCCCAAAGCCCACTGCCCCCAGTGGAGTGGAGGACCTACACCCCACAGAGTCTCAGCACCAGCCGGAAGCTTCGTTCCTCTGCATCGCCAGAGAGCACCAGGTTCAGGCCCCCGCGGGAGCAGTCAGAACCCAGGAGGGTCCCTTCGGCCAGGTAATGAAAAGAAGTTTGTGAAAGGCCTTGGGCTTGGTTTCCCGGATGACTCCCACGGATGCTGTGCTGAGCAGTCGGTATAGTCACTGACGCTGAAGAGCGGCTGGCATTGGACAAAGCTGGATAATTACACAGTGAATGGTGCATTTTAGTGCTAGTCAGGCCTCTTTTATGGTGCCTTCCAGGACTCCCAATCCCCCTGTTGTTCCTGTTTGGTTCCCACTTCGAAGGACCTGTATCAAGCTTGAGCATAGTTGGCCATGGCCGCCTTCAGTGCTCACCAGGGTCATCTCAGGATCAGCAGGAGGGAGTCACTTAACTGCTATAGGGTTTCTGCTCAAGTGAGGCCCCAGGGCTGGCTTGAGGGTCATTGGCAGTGCTTGTGCGTGCTAGGGTCCAGGACTGGAACAGCCGGGGGTACTGTAGGTCAGGACTGAGGGGCACTGGCAGAGCTGTAGGACAAGGCCCAGAACTGGAAGAGGTAGAGGAAAGGCTGTTTCCAGATGCAGGTAGATTATTGGCCGGCTGTGTGATGTCTCCGTGTTGATAGGGTGGGTGGTATGTCAGGATAGGGGTGCACTGGCCGAGCTGTACTGGGGTGTCTGCCTGTGCTAACTCTGACTTCAGGCAGCGCGCTCAGCCCCTCGCTCTCAGCAGCACCAAAATGTAACTAGTTAAACCCCCAGGCCTGTGTTTTTTGGTGGAGTTGGTGACATTACGGGGCCCTGTTTTGCTGACTTTGAGCTTGTCAGCACCTCCCAGAGGTGGTGGCCTGCACTGGCCTTTGTGCCAGCTTGTCAGTGCATCACAAGGCAAATGGTTACAGCTGCTAACGAGGGATGTATATACCCTCACACTGCTTGTCAGCACAGAACCAGCTTCACGCCCAGAGCAACGCAGGTACCCACCTCCCTAGGGCTAGAGGCGACTGACACACCGATCTGACGCTTTGTCTCTGTTATAGGGCAACAGAGCGGTCTGCTACTCCTTCGCGGAGGCAGCTGTTTGCTGAAGAAAGATCTGCTACCCACCAGAACTCCTCCACCCAGAGCGGGAGGGATAAGCTGTGTGTTTCTATGTCCTCCCTGACATCGCAGCTGACTGGAAGCGAGGAGGATGGTTCTGGCGCCTCAGAAGCTCTCCCAGAGCCCCAGAGAGGGCGACAGACTAGTAGAATCCCTGGGATGAATCAGAAGGACCCAGCTAGGTTTGTGCAAGCCAGGTGTACAGAGTCCAGGCCTCAGACGACAGTGCCAAAGGACAGAACAGCTCAGCCACCAAGGAGCACCCAGTATGGAGTCAAACCCGTTCCACAGGCTCACAAGCCTGAGGAATCAGGGGTCAAGACCTTTCCTGGGATGGTCCGTTCCTCCAGCCCAATGAAACCCCTTCATCTCTCCCCACAACGGGATTCCAAGGGAGCTGCACAGAGCCACAACGCTGCACATGGCTGGGGGGATGCTGGGGTTGTGAGGCCATCCTCCCCAGTTAAACACATGGGCCAGACTCCAAAACAGGAAAGTAGCACTAAGATCCCAGTCAAAGCCGGCCCCGCCTTCAGCAGGCCCCCAACTCCTGTTCAGAGCTACCAGGGGGAGCCCCGCCTCCGAAATGGGTGGAAAGTCCCTGCCGGTGAAATGGCAAAAGCCCCGGCTCTCTCAAAGAGCAAAGTCGTGTCCGGGGCTGAGGATGGTTTTCAGGGGCACAGACATTGCAGTGGGGCAGTCAAGCCAGAGACATTGATGACCAACCTTCCCACTAGCCTAAAAGACAGGCTCGGCCAGTCAGCTCCAGCAGGGAAGGACAAGGGTCCAAACACCAGACTGGTGCAGGAGGTAGAGCCAGGAAACACCAATGACAGCAGCAGGAGTGGTGGCGATCCAATAGGCTGCAGAGAGGAGAGGGAACGTGTGTATACACCTTTGCCCATCAACCCGGCCCAGGAGCGGGCGCTATACAGGAGCCTAGAAGATGAGATCTTATCCAACATAAAGGTTCTAGAGGCTGATTCTGATGAAAGCCACTGCCCTGAGGGGAACCATCTGGACGACTTTGCTCTGGACTGCAGCATAGCGAGCGTCGCCGCCGTCAGTGAGATAAGTAGGCTCAGGTCCTCCACGCCCTCCCTGTCTTCCTTGACAAGTGCCAGGCAGACCTTGCCATGTGGCGAGGGTGTGCCTCGGAGTGGCGTCTATGTGCCCAGCGGAGAGGCAAAATGGCACCCGGCTGGATTCCGCTATGGTGATGTGATTGACGAACTCTCCCAGGGGCACAACACACTCCACCCAGTGGACGTGGAGAACTGGATCGCCAAGATGCCACCCAAGGGGGCTGGGAGGGTTTCCTCTCAGCCAAGTTCGCCTCTGGTGAATGGAAACCAGGTGGAAAAGAAGCTTCTAGAGCCAGAAGGGGCTTTGTTACAGGAGAACGTGTCCAATGAAACCAAAGGCAACTGGTCAAGGAGGCAGCCATCTCTCACAAGCCATGCAGGGTCGGCTGTAGTCAGTAGAAATAGCAAAGCTTCTCAGGCAGCCTCTGATGGCCCCAAGGCATCTATCAATTCTCCAGCCTCTGTGGGTGGTCTTGAAAAGTCCAAACTGCCTCAAGGTAAGCCCAAAAGATCCCTGAAGAAGCCCGAACGGGTGCCATCCATCTACAAGCTAAAACTACGCCCCAAAATCCGCCCACGCAGGGACAACAGACCTGAGAAACGGCCATCCAAAATCCCCACTCCAGTGACCTATCGACAGGCACAGAAAGCGGCCAGCGTCAAAGCCCAGGAAAAAGCCCACAGCTCAAAGCATCAGACCCGGCCAACTCAGGACAGCCTGGATAGCACAAGGCAGAACAGCACAGGAAATGCTGGGTCCGAGGAAGAGGCTTGGCTTTCAGAACATAGTAACTCCCCACAAGCTGGGAAGAAGACAGTCCTAGCAGATACCAAAGTGTGGCTCACAGAAGAAGATGAGGAATCCTGGGTCTGATGTCTTGCCTGCTGGCGCCAATTTTGCGTCCCAGTTGTCAGTGTTTGTAGCTCTACGGGGAGCCACATTCTCCTCCAACCCCATTGGAGAAACGGGGTTAGAGAGGAGACTCCGGCCCAACAGATGCAAAGCCAGTGAACTGATGAAGTTGAAGTTCTCCCAAGTTCTCAGCTGAGTGGCTCAAAAAAGGGACCTGTTGATTTGAGCCGAAGAAATCTGACATTTATTTTGAAGGACGAGAAGGCAGATTTTCAGAGAGGCCTCGACACGACCCTCAAAACCTGCAGGTACAATTTTGTGCTCTCTCCTGGGTTTTGAACATGCACTAACACTTCAAAGTGGAAAATTGAGCCTGCAATTTGGCATGAGGCATCTTTTGAAAACTTGGTCCCAAGTCTGGAACTAAGAACAGAACATAGAACAAAGGGCGGAAACTGCTAACCTAAGAAAAGCTCTAATAGTGTGATTCAATGAAAGCCAAATTTTTTTTTTTTTACCAGCAGATGGAAATGTAAATATTTTTACTGCAAAAGTACTATCAGCAGGGGGAGATGCCAGTGATATGTATGATCATTTTCTCCTTGCCCCCGAGACCCACCCCAAATCCATTGTAATAGTTTTCTTTGACAGATGTACTTCCAAATTCCCCTCTCAGTTAATTTGGTGGATTTCCAGGGATGGTGTACTTGTGCAATTGAGAGGAGAATTTGGCCCATAAATTGCAAATACAGAGGCCAATTTAGCTCATGCAGAGAGGAGAAAGAGCATGGTCTCATTGTTAGAGCAGGTCTATTGGGTTCAAATAATTAAAAAAAAACCTCTCTTTGCCTCAGTTTCCCCATCTGTAAAATGGGGCTAATAATGCTTACCTCTGAAGGCACCAAGAATCTTAATGAATATTTGTAAAGCACTTTGAGATCCTCAGGTGAAAGGCACAAGAGGAAGGTAAAATATTATTATTATCGTCCTAGATCCATGGGTGAATCTTGTATTGATCCCAGTGGGAATCCCAAGTGCACTTGTAAGGCAATATAGAGCCCTGCTTTTGGAAAGGTTCCCCCAAGATTGCTCTGCCTTTTATAGGCAATGGGCAACATGCCACCCTCATTCTGTTCACAAAAGTCTTGTTGAATTCAAAGGGAGTTTTCTAAAACACTGGAAGTGGTATAGCACGTGAATTGTGTCAAAGTCCCTAATCAGACCATTTCCCCCTTTTTTTCATGAAGTTACCGGGGCCAAATACTCAGCGGATGGAAATTTGATTTACTTCAGCTCAGGATCTGGGCCACAGTTGCCTGCACGTATTTTAAGCTTGTCATTATTATTGTTAAACCAGTAGCCATCAATGCATTGGAAATAGGAAGTTACTTGAAATGACAAAAGCTGTGTCGGAGCTACTTCCACAGCTGAAAGAAATATAATAATAGATTCAGACGGTGGGCTTGTTTTTAACCAACATGCCGGCGCTAGAGATGCCCTGTGATATCAGGAAAGAGACCTATAGAGACCACCCATAATGTCTTGATACCCATGAATGTTCTGTGTAGTTTATGTGTGAATTGTCTTTGTTGTTATAACTCTTGAAAATAGTATTTGAGGTGATTATTAATCATGCTGCTTGTTCCAGTTAGCCATTGTATTCCTAAACCTTTGATCACTGTATGACTCTCAGTGTTTGTGCAATTGAGACATTCCTAAAACTCTTCTTCTGGTTCAGTAACTTCTGTTTCAATGGGGATATGCAAAGATTGATCCATTGATAGCAATGATGCCTATAACCCAGGGATGATATAGCTTACTAGGTGAACCCTTTGTTGCACTTTACATGGGATAAATTGTTTTCAAACAACCTGTTTTTCCTTTGGGTCATTAGAAATCCCTAACTTTGGACGTACGGCTAGGCCTTCCAAGAGAGGATTACATAAGAACCATGAGTTCATAAAGACAAGAATGCAAGAGTTTGCCTGGTCTCTGTTAATGAGAGCGGGTGGGAATTTTTCACATTTTTAGAATGCTGATTTCCAAAAATTTGGAATATTTTTGCAAAAAAATGTTCTGAATTTTTTAATTTATGTTCACTAAAGGAGGCAGCAGGAAATAGGTCAGGTCCAGGCAGTAGGCCAAGTCAGGTCCAGATGTGGCCAGCTCCATATTTAAGATTGTGGACGTGGGGGGATGGCAAATGAGGTCAGGAATGCTGTTCAACCATGTGCTGAGTGATTTGATTGGACAGCTCACCCATGTTGTTTTTTCAGGTGGTCTCAGCAAGATCTAGATCTGAACTGTATTCAGTGAGGGTGAAAGGAACATTAATAACCCTTTGCGCAGGTAATACTAGGTGGAGCAGTGCTTCCATCTCAATGGACTAGAGATTCAGTGAGAATTTCAATACACCCTCTACAAGAGTCTTAAGGCTGCAGGGCTGAAACTGACTTGAGCGATGTGTCGGGGGCACCGTCTTCCACCCTAATTGCAATGGGTTGGTGTTGGGATATTTTACACTTTCCATTACCCACACAGTTGCCACGTGTTCCATTTTCATTATGTTCTGTTGTTGTAATTAGAAACACATTAACAACTCCACTGTGGGTATGAGACGTGGTATGGGATCACTGATTCTGAGAATTACAGCGCTGGGTTATGTTGCTTGATTGCCCAACTCATCGGTTCCCCGCTAGATGGTGGGTCTAAGGACAAGGGGAAGGAATATGGTGGCAGCCCAGTGAAAACAAAGAATATGGAAGAGAGAAAGAGGCATCACGGAGGGGATCTCTCTGAACATGAAAAATCCTACCAGGCCCATGAAAATGTTCTTTCCCCAGCAGTCAGGAAATAGGATGAATTTGAAGGATCAGTGTTGTCATTGCATATCTCATCAAGCGTATGTCACCCCTTAGCAACCTACAGCTAAAACCAAGCCCCCCCTTTAAAGTGTAATAATGGAGACAAGAACCAGATTATGTCCTGGTGTGAGCAGGTACAATGGGAAGGCACTGAGAATTGTATCAATTTAATGCCAGGGCTGTATTTGTCCCTGGGATAGGAACTGAGTAATTTTCACTTATGCCCAAATAAATCTGTTAGTCTTTAAGGTGCCGCTGGGCTCCTTGTTGTTTTCATGGAACAAGACTATTTGGCAAGAAGGATCTTTTAAGAATGAAATGAAATTATTTAGCTGATCAGCTAAACATTCACTTGGAGTGGTTTCTGTTAGTTTATGACCAGGCCTCACGAGATAGGTCAGTTGAATACCTTGACAAACCTTGAATACCATCCAACCATGTTGGATGAGTGTCGTAAATATACAGAACCAACAAAAATGGAGAAGTGCCGTCACAGACTTGTATTTAATTTAAATGTATTGGATACAGATTAATTTCCTTAGTTCAGAACTACAAGCTCCTTGATAAACGGTCTGAAAGTAGAGCTGGGTGGAAAAGTCAGGGTTCTTTTAACAGAAAATGTTGAGACTTTGGTAAAATATTTCTGCTGAGACCCAAGACATTTTGATTGTGAAATGCATCTCCCATGAAACACCACTGTCTCCCTTCTTGGAGAGGGTAGTTGGCACATCCTGGAAGTCACATGTTGGAGATGCATCGTGGGACACGAGTCTGACTGGGGAGCCTGGCCTCTAGAGAATAGGAGTTTGAGACACCTGAATTACAACTCCCACAAGGCACCATGGCATGGCAGCATTTCACAATATTTTGTTTTTTAGATTAAATATTCCAATTTTGGGGCAGTTAGGCAAATCACAATTTTCTGTGGAAAGCCAATACTCTTTGCAAACAATTTCATTTAGTTGAAAAGCCAATTTTCTGTTGAAAAACAGTTTGTGGAAATTTTTCACGCAGCCCTCTCTGAAAGGGGTTTTCCCTAGTGTTGCTGTAGCTTCTGTAATGTCTTTAGAAACATGGGTTTGAAACTTTTAACAGTAATTCTCCTCCATGACTCATCACCAATCACACCCCTCCTCCTCTTTCAGGAAGGGTACAACAGCTCTCTCTGCAGGGTTCATTATCAGGAGGCAATTTAGTGATTGTTTCAAGTGGCAGGAGAATGAGGCAGTGAGAGATTAGGAACCGATGCGGAAGCAGATGTCTGGAGAAAGGGTTGGAGCTCTGTCTTATACCTGTTGGAAACTCATTTTTCTGGATTTAAAGCTTGAAGACAAGCTTCCCATGATACAGGGGGTCCTTCTTCAGGACTCTGTGTCTGACAGGCTAGCTGGAGGGGGCATGGATCCGGGGAGGTGGGTTAATGTGGCAGTTATCAGAAAATACACAGCTCCATTATCAGGTCCCACTTGTTCCCAGCTGAAGAGGGCTTTAAAGGAGCTCAGACCTACTCTGTGTTCATAAGCCTCCATGCATTCAGTGGTGGCTGTGTGCAGCTAAAGAGACCCTTATGAACAGAGCTAGCCCTCTAGAGAGCAGGAAGGCCAGCTGTGAATAGGGAGGGCCCGGTAAGTGCAACACCTGAAAGGAGGAATAGACAAACGGGGGATGACAACTCTTTGGCAGGTTCTCTCATCTGCTCAGGTGCTGGTTAATCGAGCATGGAGATTCACTTGTAGAAAGAGATGGTGAGCTGCCTGCAGGAATGTGCTTGCCCTGATGGTCCCGTGGCCGTTGAGGGGGAGGCAACTGAGCTATCAGGTGGAACCTGATGGCCCTGAAGTTTCCATGGCAGTTGGCGGTAGTGATGTGGGGGGACATAGGGTTGCCAACTTTCTAATTGCTGAAAACCATACACCTCTGCCCCGCCCCTTCCCCCAAGGCCCCGCCCCCTGCTCACTCCTCTTCGCTCTTCACTCCCCTTTCTCCCGGGACTCACCTGCTGCCTGCAGAGCCAGGCTGGGCGGAGCTGATGCGGAGCCTGCCCACCTGCCAATCAGGGCACAACGGGGGTCAGTGCCCGGAGTAAGGGGCCAGGGCAGGGAGGGATTGTCCCCATAGCAAGGAGCTAGGACTGGGGTAATCGGGGCACGGTGGGGGTTGGTCCCCAGAGCCAGAGACCGGGGAGGGGTCAGTCCCCATAGTGAGGGGCTAGGGCCAGGGCAATCGGGGCAGAAGGGGGGGCAGACAGGATCCCCCCCGGGTGGCGGCACCTGCCTCTTGGAGCCCGGTCTGGAAGCCAGCCACTGCTCTCTGTCGGGCGTCAGCAGCTGAGCAGAGAGCAGCTCCTCCATGTGGCTCCAGCCTCTTCCCACCCCCCGGAGGCAGAGGCCATGAGGATTAACGGGGACAGAATGACGGACCCCCAACCTCATGCTGGGTATTTGTCCTGCTCGCAGGCATAGCCATGGTGCATGCAGCACTGCGCTGGGCAATGACATGAATGGAAGCAGAGATGGATTAAGGTTTTGTGGGGCCCTGGGCCAGAGCAAGTGGGGGGCCCCCTCCCCACACCTTCTGCCTGCGGTGCCGCCTCCCGTTCTGCCCCTTCCACCCATGGCCCCACGCTGTTCTGCCCCTTTCCCCTGTGGCCCCGCCCCATTCTGCCCCCCCCACCGCAGCCCAGGACCTCTCTCCTCCCCTCACCCCAGGGGCAGTGCCACCCAAGTTAGCTGGAACAAGACGCTGGGTGCTTGGCATTGCCATCCGTGTGCCATGGGGCATCCCTGCCCCCAGGGCACCTCCCGCCCCAGGGGATACATGATTGTTCCTTCTGTCCCTGCCAAGGAGGGGTACCCTGGCCCTAGTGCACCCCCCGGCCAAAGGGCGGGCACTGCTGCCTGCTGCGGCCAACTGGACTTTTCTGACTGAACACTGCCAGGTTCCCTTTTAGACCAGATGTTCCGGTCAAAAACCAGACATCCGGCAACGGTAGTGGGGGAGAAGTTGTCAGGTGGAATGTGGGGCCCCCGAAGGTTCCATGGCAGTTGGTGGTAGTGACGATGGGGAGGTGGGGGAGAAGTTGTCAGGTGGAATGTGGGGCTCCTGAAGGTTCCATGGCAGTTAGGAATGACAGTTGGGCAGTTCAATTAAGTGAGGTGATTAGAGTGAGTAGGAAAGGGATTGGGCATCACTGTGTTCTGAGCTCCAGCACCTACGGCTTGAGGCAAAACCCAATAAAGTGGATGGAAGTCTTTCCATTGCCTTTGGAGCAGAGCCATAGGGGCCTCTCCTAAATTGGCCAACTGGGCCTTACACCACCCAGAAAATTAAGAGGATCCTTCAGAAATTACTCTAAAAAAAAATCTAAAACAAAATGTATTCTTTTTTTCTGAACACTGGAGGATAGAATTCTCTATTAAATTCTATGGGATGGTTCATTAAAAACCTACAGAAAGGTGCTCATTCTCTTTTACATTCTAGAGGACTCATCCCTAAGTAGCAACACGGGTTTACAGAGACATCACTGATGTTCCGTCACCCTACATCTAGTGTTCCAAGCTTGTAAGGGCTTCACAATGGGGTCTTCAATACAACGGTCTTCAGTCGGCTCAGATGGTGAGAGCACGTGTCATGTAGGTGAAAGGCTGGGCTGGCAATGGCCCAGGGAACCTCTGCCTCAATTAGCGCCAGTTATACCCAACTTGTAATGCATCTAACAACTGCTACTATTAACCAGGCCATCATTCACAGGCTCCAGGCCTAGCTAGTGGGAGGTCTTGCCTGGTTGGGTTAAGGAGATAGGTCCAGGCTGCAGCCTGGCTGGGGGAATTTTGTCCCCTTAGGTTTCCCTAGCCTCATTTTAAAATTCTCTTCAGGAACCATCTTCTCTCAAGTTCTCCAGAGCTGAGCTGTGCGCTCACTATTCCTGACATGTGATCATTGACGCCAGGCTGGGGGTTGTTACATAGCTAGTGTTTTCAAATTCTCGCAAGGTCACGCCCTGTGGTGTGGAGGGGCCATCACAGGGAAAGGTCCCTTCACATCCAGCTGGAAATCGGGTCGAGACAAAAACCAGTGGGTCTGATTTCTCCCCATCTCATCCCATTTGCAGCTGTGCACAGTTGCTGTAAAACACCAACGTCCCCTTATCCAGCTGCAAATGACCATCCAAGCTGCCTGTAGCAATGGAGAATCAGGCTCAGGCAGTACTTCTACCTTTACACACAAGGTGTGATTTTTAGTGCTGCCCGGCTCAACATGGCCCTCACAGCCTATCCCGCCTTCTTACTTGATTGTAGGTTTATGGCTTTTGGGGCAGCTCGTAAAGTGTTCTTAAATCCCAATTATCATTCACATTTTTCTGATTGAATTCTTCCTCCCAGCTGATCTGGCTCATAATTGTTTTCAGCTTTGTAAAACTGACCTTTTTAAGAGAGAGAGAGCGAGATAAATGTCAACATGTCAAGCCAGCTGTGCTTTACCAGCCAAAACTCCGCTATCCTTCCTCTTGGGTATGACTGAAAGCAGACAGAAATAATTTCTGCTGAGTAAAAAAGCTACAGTCTTCATTCAATGTAAAATCAGTTCCTCCTCCACACAGGGTATGTCTACAGTGCAAAAAAAAAAGAACTGTTCTTAACTTGGGTTAGCCTAGTTCAAGTTAAAATAGAGCCAAACTGCCATGTCATCACTGCTAACTCAGGTTAACAGGTCAAGTTTAAAGGCTGCGGTTGAGTTAAACCTGAGCTAAAAGCCATGTGTTAGCTGTAAATTGCAATGCCTTGTGGTTGGATTTCAAACCACTGCAGTTTCAATGTACCCATCTAAAAGATCTGTGCTTTATTTTTAAATGTAACCTGGTGGATTCACCATTAGATTGATTTCTGGTCAAAAGGAAAAAATAACCAATATCATTAATTTGCCTTAGTAAGAAATTGCTGCGATTGAGAGCTGGAATGGGATTCTTTAAAAGAAAAACAAAACTGTAGGAAGTTGGGTTTTGGAAAGTTCACGAGAATTTGATTGGATCTTTATATGGGTATCAAACTAGCAGAGTTAACACAATTAATGACACAAAAAATGTGGGGAGGGATATTAAACCTCATATATCAGGGCTTAAGCCAACCTCAACTATAGAGCCCAGGATCAGATCTAATGCAAGGTGGGTGGAGAGGCAGATTTTCCCACATCTGCATCTTCTTCTGAAACAACTGGTGCTGGCCACTGCCAGAGACAGGATACTAGACTAGCTGGACTTTGGTCCTGATCCAGTCTAGCAATTCCTATGCTTCTAGACGCAGAGCTGCGCATGCTGGTCACTTGGTGCTGGTGAGGAGTGTAGATATAAGAAAGTAATCAGACATCGCAGGAAAATGACAGAGACGTAGGTACAGAAGAAGGGGAAATGCACCTGATTTTAATCTGATTTCAGATAACGGGGGGTGTAGTGTGTTACAGGCTTTACAGACACATTGGGAATCTCCAACAAGAAATCCAAGGGGAAGTGGAAAACCAAGTCCAAGAAACCCCCAAACTAAACAGGTCAGATGAAGAACATCTGGGGGCAGGGATGGGAGGGAATAGAGAGAGAGAGACTCCTAATTAGAGGCTTTCACGTACATTTCCTCCAATGTAGACCAATGAATAACAGGTGCACAGTGCAGAGAGAAATGTGGCTCTCTCCTGAGCCCTCCCAGGAAAGACACTCACCAGGAAGATTTGGGAACAATTTTCCTGCCAAGGAAGCACAATTGTGTGTGTAAAAATGTATATGGGGAAATGTTCCTTCTTAGAACCTTGTTTAAAGAAAGAGAACGGTAACACTTTGTATTAAGGGTATTTTTAGAAATAGGTTAATTCATAAATAATTATGTGATTAGTTATTACAATATTTATTAAAAATGCTATTGCGCTTGTCATCTTCTCCCTCCTGTTTTGTGGCTTCACAGCCCAATACTGACACCAACCAATACTACCTTGGGGTCTGAGCGTGGGCTTGGAAGCCTGGAATTCCTCAATTCATGTCCGAGCTCTGCTACGAGCTCTTTCTGTTGCTTTAGGCAAATCACTTGAGCTTTCTACCTTATTTCCCCACCTGTAAATTAACTACACGCCACCGGACTATTGTGAGGATTCAGTGTTTGGAGCTGCAGTTCACTCTGAAGCTGAAAAATGCTATATAAATGAGAAGTATTAGTATTATTACTAATATAATTTTCTCTGAGTCACTGTAGAATATAATTACATTTATAACATTTTTCAAAATACTTAATCAGTGCTATAAAACCTATAACTAAGTGTGTTATAAACTGTTTGCAGTCTTGTAGCTGTGTTGGTCCCAGGATATTAGAAAAATAAGGTGGGTGGGGTAATATCTTTTATTAGACCAATTTCTGTTATAAACTGCAGGATACAGGGTTATAGTAATCTATGTATTGACTTAAGACGTGATAGTTTTACATTATAGCACATTTATAAATGCTTTATTATTAGCATTTACAAATGAGTTTTCTTATTAAAAAAGTTTAAGGGATAAAGCTGGCTAGCGAACAAGAATATGGACCTAATGTGTTAATAAGTACGAAGTACCAAAGAGATGACATTAGAACCACCTGTAGCAAAGCATGTTATTACATTGTAGTACATGCAGCGTACAGGATAAATAACAAGCAACAGTTAATTCTAGAATTACAATTCCAGCAAAAGGGTCTGCTGATGTCACAAACCATGGCCAAGTCCTCCAAAGTCTCAGTAGAATCATAAGCCTAAAATTTACAACTGACTATTCATAGAGTAATGTATTGATTGCTGTGAATATGTACTACTACTCTTTACTGGCTGGACTCAGCTGTGTGTCATAGACCCTATATTGATACTAGAGATTTGCCTTTAGCTCAAGTGATGGAGGCCTGTGTTTTTGGAGCAGGAGGATCTATTACCCATTGTTACTGTGAAGTACCAAGTGGCTATGGTGTAAGTACCTAGGTAGCCAAAGATTTGTTTCAGTTCTCTCTCAACATGTTATATGGCATTCCATTTTGCAAACCTAACTGTACACGGCATACAATTTCAGCACAGTGGATAATGACTTAGCAATGCTCCTCTCTTTAGTGGTAATGGTAATTAGACAGCTAAATCACAGCCTATCACATTGCAAAAGTGCTCTCAATATAGTTTGTATTCCAGCAAGTGACTTTGGTGATCATGACAGCAAGATTCCAGGGATTTGGTCATAAAAATGAAACTTTAGAGTTCATTTTTTTTAGAAATGTCTTCTTAATAAAAAGTGTTACCAAGATAGTAATAGCATTACTGTGAAATGGGACCTACCAATGGGAAAACATTGGGCTTTTTGTTTTATTATAGATAAGGAGGGCTTAAACATTTTTTAACCTTTAGAAGCTGCAGGTCTGATTTTACAGGAGAACTTGTTGGTCTCAGGTATGGATTGGGCGCTTCCTCCTCCCTTAAACTTTAACCAAGAAATCTTTTCTCCCAAGAGTTTCTCATGTGTTTGAGCAAGTTAAAGAGGGGAAAAACAGGGTAGACAAGGAAAAATAGGGTAGACAAGACCTATATTTCTAAAATATAAAACAAGCAGAAAATCATTTTTTTTAAAAAGGCAGACCTCTTATCAATCATAAATTAGCCAAAAGAAAAAAAATGGGTGTGAGGGGAGGCACAAATCCAATTTCTCATTTTTTTTTTTGAATGTCACCTTTAAACAACTTGACTGCCTTGCTATAGTGTAATTCAGGAGTCTGTCACTGGATGGAACGAGGGCTTCTGGCCAGGGTTATGTTTAGGGAAAAGATTGTCTAGGACAAAAGTAATAGAAGAATCCAAAAAGTGTAACAGTGTAGAAAGTATCACAGCACCTCCTTCTAGTAAAGCCTGAACACAGAACTCTCCCTCTCAGGTTTCATTTGTTCTATTACAACGGCCCCCGGCTATCCCGGGGGGGGGGATGTGTGTGTGAGAACGAAGCTGAGATCCACTGCAGCTACCGATCAGCCCTTTTAAACCGTGTAAGGAGATAGCCTTGCCTATTCGGAAACTGTACATACTTGCATATAAACGGAGATGCTGACACCTGAAATGTCAGCCAATCTTTGCAAAGTAGCCGTAAGTTGGGGTGAATTTCGCAGGTCAATTATGGTAAAACAACTGTGGAAAACAGGCGTTTCTAACTGAGGTTCAGTTTTCATTGATCTCTCCTGCCATGACAGTAAGATGTAGGTGTGTTTGGGTCGGCTCAATTTATAAACCATCAGTCCAGATACTTATTTACGCTTATGCCTCTTTACACAGAGGAGCGCAAAAGATCCTGGAGCACTGAAACCATCGTGTTTATATTAGCTGTAGGATCTTTCTCAAACACTAGGTACAGGTCGATACAGTATTTTAGTTATCCTTCAAGGAGGCCATTGTCTAGTTTGGTTTCATTATGATGATCATTTTTAAATCTGTACAAAACTGACAGTGATCAGCTCCAGGAAGAAGAGGTAGACCTCCAGTGCCTGTCCAGCAAATCTGGTACAGTCAGATAGGAGTCGGGCAGGGATGGTGGAACTAACACTAGAATTTCAGGATCATTTTGCTTTCAACCTAGTGCTGGGGGGAAAAAATCCATGTAAAAGGAAGAACAAAAATGATGCAGCTAACTGCCAAACCCGGGTGTCTTGTCAGCAGAAGGGGGGAGGGGCTATTCGTGCACAGCACACGCGTGAGAATGAACACGCCGACACGCACATGCCAAGAAAGGCAAGCCTCAGACATGCGCTCACGCTGTTGAGATATTTAAAAAAAGGTTCGGAGCTTGTAGAAACACAACACAGGAAGGAAACAGGGGAGGAAGGACCAGTTGGGAGGGGGGAGGGGGGTGTTGAACCATCTGAAAATTCTGTCCTGAAATAAAAAAATAAAAAAATCCATTTCAGCCATGCCTCTCGCTGTCAGGCTGCTCTGTCCCTGATCCAATGGGCAAAAGAAGGGAGGGTTCAGCTTCCCTGATGCCATGCTACTCTCCTGGCACAAGGGTGAAGGACCTGTTGACTTAAGGCTGACTGGGTCTTTGTATCCCTGTTTGCAGTGAAAACATCTCTGGTTACCAAGGCAGCAGGGGATGCCATGCCACACCTCGTGGTAGGCCGTTGGCATTACAGATGGATACCCATACAAATCTGCCACTTGTCCAGACTAGGTCATCCTCAGGTAATAACCAAGCGGCAGGTAATAACTGTCTTGCTCTGAGACGGCAGAAGACCCCCTCCTCCCCCCAACTGCACGGTAACCAGCGATACTTCACCCATCCCTGCTCTCTCCAAGCTGCCCCTCTCCCTTCTTCGCTGGACACCACATCATCCAGTCCATGATCCAATGCAGAGGCGGGAGGAGAGGAAGGCGCCTAACAGCCTTTTGCACTTTGGAGCATGACGCCGCCTCCTTGAATCGGCCGTGCCGTCCATGCGCTGGGGACAGGCAGGGCGGAGGGTGGCTCACTCTGAGGCTTCATCCAGGAGAGCTGGGCACCCTCCCTGACACGGCTTCCTTTGTCAAGAGAGCTGCTCGCGTCCTCCTGTGCTCGCCCCTCCGTTTTACAAAAGGGTCTCTGGGGACAGTCGTGGGAGCACGGGCTTCACATGATGGTGCATCGGTTCCTGCGCAGTGCCCCCTGGAAGCGGATGGCGGTGTGGACGTGCTTGCAGCGGGCGCAGCCCACGCTCTTCAGCAGCTCGCTGAAGAGCAGCAGGATGTGCCAGTTGTACTTGGCCGAGCACTCGATGTAGCCGCACTTCCAGGTCTTCTTCACCAGGTTGGAGACGTTCCAGCGGGGAATCACCCGGCCCCTCTGCAGATCCCGCTTGTTGCCCACAATGATGATGGGGGTCTCGGTGGTGCCAATGACCCTGCAGAGAGGCAGGGCAGAGACAGACACAGACAGAGTGGAGTAGTGGGGGGAATTGGTAACAGAAAAGAAGAAACACGTCAATTTCTTTCATTGGCCTTCCTTAACCTCCAACCCATTACCCCCTTCCAATTTCCTACAATTGCTCTTCTGCTTCCCACTAGCTCACTATTTTATCTTTATTTCTGTCTCCTGGGGATCCCTCCCCATCCTCAGGTCCTGGCTGGGCCTGTCCCAGTGGCAGAAGATGACAATCCGGAGCCTCCCTTATGTAACGCGGTGGGGACAGACTGGTGGCTGCTGCTGGGCTGTCAGCAGGGAACTTTGTTCTGCATGGAGGGGTATGGCAGATCCTGCTGTAGCAAACTGCCCAGTCACTCACCTACCTTGTCATAGCAAGCGCAGCTTACAAATACTGGTAAGAAACTCAAAGCTGCTTTGCCAATGACTAGACTTGGCCCTGCTGTGGCTCTTAATATCTCATTGGCAGCTTGGAGAGCTCCCATCTGAGCTGTTTGTTGCTCTTTGCTTTTCTATTATGCTTGAGTGAATTTAGTGCAGGTGGATCTAGCCTGCACCTGCTAGAAGATTTCAGTCCCTAGGGCTATCAGCACTGAAGGGAACTCAGCACCCTCCATCCTCCTCCCTGCCCCCAATATATTCCTGGAGAGGATGCACAATTGAGAGGCGACGTTAGCTTTGTGAGCGCGGCCCTTTCCCCAGCTCAGCTGGGCCAGGAGTAAGGCAAGCAGGCACTTACCTCGTTTCTAGGATCTGTTGTCGAATAGTTTTGATGTACTCAAAGCTGTCAAAGCAACAGATGTCATAGACTAGGATGTAGGCGTGGACACTCCGAAGCCCCCTGCAGCACGCGTCCGCCCACTCCTGCAACAGGCACACAGGAATTGGTCAAAGCTCAGGTGCAGAAGCCCCCCCTTGGGGTATCTCTCCAGCCTTTCTGCCAGCTCATGTGCAAGGGCACTCCTGTGACCATGCCAGGCCTTCTGCTACTGGATTTTATGCCGAGATTTTGCTGGACTTGGGCACTGCTCCTAACGCAATACCACGCCTGCTTCTGCAAACATGGCTGGTGCCTCAAACCCCAGCACCATTGTACTCCTCTATTTCGAGCATCCCTAGGGCCTGCTGTACAAGTCCAGATCTGCAGTTACTGTTGCTTTGGGATGGGTGATATTACAGGCGTAACGGGCGTTTTCCCAGCAGCAGCCTCACTGCACCCTGGTGGAATA